AGAGAGCAAGACTTGGACGACATGTTACAAGATGGTGCGCCTATGTGGAAGAATTCTTAGGAAGTGGAGGTTGGGAGCCCTGGATGGAAAAATTATAAAGGTATGCTCTGGTTAACTCTATTTTCTTCAGCCAGAGGCATTACGAGTATTTGTGTGTAATTTAAATAGGCGATTTCAACGTTTGCAGAGCATCTTCAAGGCTGATAAGAGCTACTTTGGGTTGCAGTATTGGGAAGTGAACTTGAATTGCAGGGAACGGATATGGTTCTGGAAATAGTGGTATCAACAGATGGAGTTGAGCCGCTGTATTTCATAACCCCCGATGATCTGACGTATCAAGCTCGTTGCCCATTGAAAGATGCGAAACAGCTGAGCCCGAACACTGATCTCACCCCGAAGATTGAGAGGTGAGTCCGCTTTCTGCTGAAAACGCCGCACTTCTCAGCATACCGTTGACTTTTGCCTTGATACTAGCAGCTTCATGTCACATCACACTTTTAAGGAAGCTGCCTTTTCATGTGATGTAATCAAAACTGCACCATCTAACAATCAGACTACTGGCTCTTCTGTTTTCTCTCTTTTCCGTACAGAAATTGTAAAAGTGCTTCATTTTCTTTCCGGAAATGGTAGATTTACCTCATTCTCTTCGCCATTTTTGCGAATCGTAAGTTCTCATAGCACTAGCTCTCAATAGCTATTAAGTAACGGCCATCAAATGTAGGAAGAAATAAGCCAAAGGAGTGTATGAAAATTCCCAACAGCTCGTACTGCGTGCAGAAAGAGACATATAAAGAAACAAGTCTGTGGACCCCGGCACAGTGGTATTTTGGTCAAATAAGCCTGCACTACAAACAGGTTGAACAGAGTGAAATCAAAACTAAATAACGATGTGTGCTGCCGCGGGAATGTGTTTTTTATGAAGTATTTCCACTTGATATTTGATGCTAGCAGGTTTAAACGTACATTCGTGCCAGAACTGTTCGGCCGCTCTTCACGAACTTGGTTCTTAATCCCTTTCTTAAGTTATTACAGTTTAAAAAGACAAAAGCTGAAAGTTTGACAGCTTTATCTCCTACGTCATAATGCAATAACAGTCTTATGTTCTTCGCGCTGTGATTTCAACCTCATGTCCTGTTCCGTAGGTTAAATAATTTTTAACTGTCTCACCAGTCTCGCATCTGCACACATATAAGTGTCTCAGAAGCCAAGCAAATTTGGTTTCCGCTTGAATGAGATCGTAGCTCAGGACTCAAGAAACTAGAATGCTAGTCTTAGGGCTCCAAGGCTTGCACAGCCAACGACTAGTTCGCTCATCTTCCTAGCCTACTTTTAGTGAAATTCAAAAAGCATGGCATGCACTGTAGCGCACAGCAAGTTTTGTCATTGTGCATTAGTAGTGGGGACATGCGGAGAACACCTGGCGGCCACCAAACAGGACCTTCGCGGGGCATTGCGGGCCAAATCTGAAAGTGTGGATGGGATTTTAGAACGACTTTCTCGG